GTGGTAGGTTTGAAAGATTTATAGATCATTTTATCGAGATTTATGTTTAAAAAATAAACAATATAATTAATATTTAACAATTATTGTTTATTTAAAATTGTTCTTTCTAAAATTAAAACTTTTGTTTTTTCAGATGTTTACTACAGCAATAAACTATTTAATGTTTTTAGTGCAATATATGTAATAAATTGATAATACCAATATTTGTGATTCTGTAAGATATGTCCTAATTAACAAGGAGAATAGAAGTCAAAAGAAAATTAACAAGACATTTATATATAAATATTTTTAATGATGAATAGTTAACTAAATTTTAAGTTATTTTCAAGATTTTTATTCAATTTACACATAATTTACTAGTTAATAAATTATTTTATTCACTCAGTTTTATTATTGTCGCTCCAAAACCCATTCTTCATTATCAGTCAAATACGTTCAAAATATTTCTAAATGTGTTCCTGTTCTTAATCTGTATTTTCGAGGATATCTCTAGAAGCTTCAACACAGGGACTGTAGTTTTGCCTGTCTTGTATTTAATTTGGCCCTAAACAGACATGTTCAGATTCTTGGTTATGCGAATGATTTGAACCGTAGTGGAAGAACACTGGAGATAGTAAGGAAGTAACAGCAAAACGTATGGGGCTCCTAATAAACACGGATAAAACAAAGTATATGTGTGCAAACACAAAGCATGGTATCCGGGAAGGCTTTGTTCAATTGAGTTCACACAAAATAGAAATGGTACGAGAATTTGTCAACTTAGGCTCCCAAATGAACTCCCGGAACGATATTGGGGAAGTGATGTACAGACGTATTATGGCTGATAATTCTTGTTGAATAGTGGAATGTTTTGAGCGAAAACCAAATTGATGGGAAGGAAGATTTTGGGGGTATTCTATGAGGGGTAGGAGTCGTTTCAAAAGGATCTTTTCAAAGATTTTTGAAAGGATTGGGAATAGGCTAATTGGTCTATAGGATGTCAAGCTGTTGGGAGGTTTGCCTGGTTTTGGAAAAAGGATAATGGTAGAGTGTTTCCATAATAGAGGAAAGTGGATGTTACGTAGTATCCGATTGTAGATATATGTAAGGAAATTATTATATTTATAGGACGTGTGTGTATATTTATATTTATGGGATGGGTGTGTATATGTATATATGTGTGGGTGTGTATGTGTGTGTGTTCTTATGTATATAAATTATATTTTATTTTTCTAGTAATTTTAAGGATTATAATATAGTTTTCTATTTATATATATATATATTTTTTAGGAAAAACCTCATAAAAACCTACTCATAAAAAAGCTCCATAAATACCTACTGTATGAAATGGATTTCAATCTTCTAAACATCATTCATACCACTAGTACGTCATAGGTTACTGCAACCACAAACATGTAATTTATCATTATGACGTGATGTAACGTATATATAAATAAAAAGCTAGTTAAAAAAAAAAATATGTAAGGAATATTACTGCTGTGGATGGAAGTTGTCGAAGGATCCGAGGAATAAGAAGATCATATCCAGGAGATTTACGGCGGATTAGCTTTTGTAATTTGATGAGATTTACGAAGCTTTTGTTTGACCGAAGAAGAAGGTGAAGGTGTCAGGCCTAACGACCTGATTCTCTTATTAGACACTCCATTAGAGATATCCGTTAATAATAATCCGGATAATAACTACCGGATCCAGATTTAATTTTGGGGGAGGGGCTTCAGCCCGAAAGATTTATATATATATATATATATATATATATATATAACGATAATTAATTTGGAAAAATCCACTGCAAATTATTTCACTATGGTATATTATTTCCAAACAATTATACGTATAAAGTAACATTAAATTCCTAGTTACAAAGAAAAATAAATAAAAGATGATTCCAATTATTGGACTAAACCTTTTTTTAATCATTAGTAATATGCTAAAAAAAATAGCATTACTTCAGTAACACATTAAAAAATCAAAACAAAAGATAAACCTTTTGCAATATCACATCTAAAAAAAAACTAAATACCATATCTTTGCTCCTAATTGTCCGATTTTAACGATTTTTTTAGAAAATTTCATAAACTTTTAAAAAACCATATACAATATTCACAAAAATGTGTATACTTCTTGAGTTATTCGGAATTTAATTTTACCATCCCTCGTAACTTTTTTTTTAACTTCTTTTCGTTGAAGTATGTTGTATAGATAAGTTTAAAGAGCATAGAGAAAATGACTTTAGCCAAGTTTCATTAAAATCGTTACATTCGTTTATGCGCTACAGTCTATAGCAACGCAGGTTTTTCGGCCGCCAATTTGAAACCAGAAGGCGAATAGTAATGTCGCTGAAGGATGATCATCCTCGGGTGACCTCTGATTTTATATCCAAATTCGAAAAAAATCAGTCCAGTAGTTTCGGAAAAAATGCGCGGACGGCGGACGGCGTACTAGTAGTGCATATATAAGAGAAAGTGTTGGACAGAATTCAATAAAATTTACACTACATTATTTTTTCGCCAAAGTCTACCTTTTATCTAACTTTGAGCCAAATCGAACGAGCCCTTTCTGAAATATTGGTATATCTAAAAATATATGTTTGGATATAGGCGCGTCGGAAGTGGAACTGCTGGATGAAATTTGATAGAATTGATATGGGACCATCTAGGCACCAATCAGCATAATCCCTGAAAATTTCATGAAGATCGGATGAACGGTACTAGGTGATATGCCCGTCACATCGATTTGACTACAGACACCGAACCAAATTTGATCCTTGATGCCTGAAACGTAAAACGCGAGTGAAAAATTTCGATTCTGAGAAAAAAAAATTTTTTTTAAACTCTCGCACGAACACAATGCTTCCCTTACCTTCGGTAGTGAGGAAGCAAAAATAAAATTTAAATAATTTATCTTGATAACTGTATACAGTAAATATCAACTTGCTTGTGTATTCTTGACCTGTTTTAAGTGAATAATGACAGAGAATCTTCTCAATAAACAGTAAATAATGATAGCTGTTTATTGATAAATAATGATAAGGTTGGAAACGCAACCTTGCTCATCAGCTGATCGATCAGCTGTTCAGAGTTATGAACAGCTGTGATTTGACTTGTGCACTTGAACTAAAATTGTCCAGGTTTGAACGAAAGATTCTGAGAAGAATTTATGGGACTACATGTGTTAACAGAGACTGGAGAAGATTATCAAGATTAAAAATAATTGTAAACGTTTCCATTTGATTTAGAAATTTCATTTAGTTTTCTTGTGACTTCTGTTAATTATCAAATTTTTCCGTAGATTATATTTAGCCATTTCTCATTATCCACGAGAGACTGTAAATTATTGCCAATAAACCATATTAAAAGCACTTTATCATGTAGTAACCACTACGAAAATTCGGCTATAACTTATTATTACCTTGAGGATAAGTCACGGGCGAATCTGCGGGGAGGGGGAGTTTTCTGGCTGAAGCTTCCCCCTCCCGAAATGATAACCATATTTTACATACAAAATGTTAAAAACTATCTCTCAAACTATTCTTGTTCGTGTAATTACATAGATAGAACTTCAAGAACCACTTACACCATTTCATATAGGTAGTTAATTACTTTATTTTTTTCAAATTAATTATCGTTTTATATGTATATATATAAAAAAAATAATAAATTCAATCCTGGATCCGCTAGTGGGATAAGGCGTATCAGATATCAAAATCCACTTAATTTTATTGACATAACGATTTTAATCAAAATTGGTAATTGATTGACTGTCGTGCATAATGAAGAGAAGAATAGTTGGGGTGGTCAGTCAAAAAGAAAGGCAAAAATAAATGATAATATTTATTTTTTACATATGCCGACCTTTCGACCTGAAGTTCAGGCCTTCATCAGGGCTAAGAAAATAACCAGATAACAAGGTATGAGAAACATAAGTAATGATGGTAAAAAAGATAATAAAAAATAAAAAAAGGAAATAAAAAAAAAATTAGAAAAATAAAATAGATAAATATAAAGTAAAATGAAAGTGTTAGAATAATGACTCAGAACTAAGAGATAAATAATAAAAACCGTTACAAAGTGTGGAATGATGAAGTAGGCATAATCAAAAAGGGTGACAAAAGTGTTACAATGGGAATCTTAGAATAAAATGTAAAACATAAAAAATAAAAATATGGTTATATAAGAAATGAAAATAAACAGTAAAATTAAAACATTGAGAATGGAGTAGCTAGATAGAAAATTGAAATATTGTAAAGTCTATCAAGATGTACAGATAATGTACAATATAATAAAGAGTTAAAAACAGAGAAAAGGAATGAAAGGAAGGAGGGAAGAAATTGAGAAAGCTGAAATAAGAAAGAAATAAAAGAAGTACTACCAGTCTCCTTAAGTGTCGAAGGGAGAATAAAAGTCGTTACAATGGAGGGGGAGAGAGAAGAGATATGTAGGTGGCGTCATCTCTAACGGTTATCCGACGAAGTTGAACTAAAGCGCTGGAAGTGTAAATGGGTACGAGAGATATATTGTTAGTACTGTATACGAGATATATTGTATACGAGAGGTAGTACTGTCTCCTTAAGTGTCGCAGGGAGAATAAAAGTCGTTACAAGGGAGGAGGAGAGGGGAGAGATTTTAATCAAAATCGTTAAAGCCGTTTTTGAAAAGAATTTGTGTAAATATGTAATTTGAGTTATATAAAGAGCCAATTTCAGTAAGTTAACTCTGGGAAAAACTTTTCTTTTTTGAGCTAGGCTCACGCAGATCATTTTCCGAGTATTGGTTATTTGTGTGTGTGTTTCCTTATAAAAATCGGATTCGAAATTTTTCAGAAACACAATACTTTTCCTTATTATTTATTTTATATAGGTAAGTAAAAGTAAAATCTTACAAGCAAAGTATTAGACCAGAATGATAGAGATTTTACACAAGTTAATTGGTTTATTGAGTCTTACAAAAAATATATTTATTTTGCTGATTAACGGGCAATTGATTGCTCTCTTCAAACCATGATTAGTTGGAACACTTGGGAAGAAACGGTTTAGTAACATCTCGCTTTACCGAAGACATACCCTAAAAAATGCAGATTAACATATATTTACGATTATTATAACATTGCAAAAAAAAAAAAAAAACATAAATTAACAGTTAGGGATAACTGATTGTTATATCCATTATATAACAGATTTTATGCGTCATATAAACACACACGATATTCTAAACACTTCCGAAACTATTACAGCGACTTACACAGACGGTACAACAATGTATAAAAATCCTACTCAAACCTGAAATCATCTAACAAAACTCGACGATTGTTACAAACTTTAGAAAATTTCTCTTGCCCAAAATCGGTCTTGATCTCGCACTTTGCAAGACCAAGAACAGGATTGGTAAAAAAAAAATCGATTTTTTAAATAAAAATTAAGGCACAATAGTTACTAATACTTGACAATCTTAGTTACTATATGTTAATAATTGGTAATACCAATATACTTTTGCATTTAATTCCTCTAATTTTTCATTCGGGCTTAGTTAGGTTTTTCCTATCTAAAAAAAAATAGTAACATCAATATAGTAATAAGCTAATAAGTAACTGCAAGACTGTTGCGATACTCTTGCGCAAGATCAAGACCATGACCAAGACTGAGTTTGCAAGACCAAGACTCGTCTCTGTCTCGCATTTGGGCAACTCTAACCGTTACGAATTCCAACAAATAACTTTCACTCTTCGACAAGAAATTTGCCCTTCAATTTACCTCGAAAGTGTTCAAATTCCTCAAACAGGTAAAGTGGTAAATATTGGAGTTACATTTGATAGAAGAATGACATGGGGCCGCCCACATATAAAGATGATGTAAAATGTTAAACCTCCTACTACGGATTAAAAAACTCTCTTCTTTCGAAAGTTCAAAATAAAAACGAATACAGAAACTGAACACTTACATTTACCTATTTAAGCCCATCTGGGCCTAAGCTCCACATACGTATCTGCAGGACACCCAAAAAGACTACATACATAAACAACAAACATTTCGGTCACAGATTTTCACAACTCTAACTAAAGCTCTATGATACCTTACAAACATAACTGTACATAAAGGCGTTCACATGCTAACAGTTTTATTTTTTTGTTATTTCTTTTTTTTTTTATTGAAAAATATTACAATCTGGCTCAAGGACATTTATAATGGTGCTCAGAGATCACATTCACACTATTATACAGAAAAATAATATATATACAATAAATAAAAACAAAACAACCCAAAACAAATAAATAAAAAGAACACATACATAGCTATGTACAATATTTACAATCTGGCGAGAGAACTCCAAACCAGACTTGTTCCTCCAACTGTAGAGGAAAAAGTATGACTACAGGAGATCCCTGCACTTCTCTCTAAACCGCATCACTGGGTCTAAACCCCTATGGAGATTGAGCAAGAGTGCTGCTAACAGTTAACGACCAAATACGGACACACTACAAAAGATTTCATGATAACTTAGATATACGTACTAACACACCCATACAAGATATTGCCACTATTAATATGTCAGGTAACATGCGTATAAGCCTCAAAAGAAGGTGGATAAGGAGTCTCCTTGCTTAAATACGAATACCAAATCAAGATAAAAAGGATGCCGCTGGGCACTCCTCCCCATAGAGCCAATTTAGCCCTTAGTTCTATTATTTTTATCGACTGCAAACTCAGTGATTATCAATATTTATGACAAATAGAGAAATAGGAGGAGAAATAGAGGTTATATGTATAACAAAAAATTTCTATCTGCAAAGTCTAGAGTTTCTATAATGCAGGTAAAAATACTTTAACGTTTGCTCATTCAGGCATCGTAAGGAGAAAAACGTGAGTTCACACATAAGCTGACCAAAGAAAGCATATTTCGAATCATCATTCCAAAAAAGAAACATCAATTCGAGACTTGGTACTATCTTATCACTCCGTTCGAAACCTGCCTAGATGGTTTGAAATTTATTTCGTAGCTGACCCATGGCATATATTTCGAACATCAGAGTACTTTCATAAAATCAAATTCTAATTATAAATAATTCTGTTTTTCAAATTTCTTCAACAAAAAATTAATAGTAAAAAATCATAAGGAATCATTATTTTATGTATGTTTTCTGTGATGTAGTAAGGAATGTAGAGTGACACGCCAGACATATTGGGAAATAATAAACCATTGCGTAATACCTTGAAATTACTTAAAAGCACAACCATAGCAAATACATAAACATGTATCAATTTGTCACTTTTTTTAAAAATATTAATATATAATTAAATTCTGTAAACTATTTAATTTATTAAAAAATTACTACATAGGCTATTAGCAAGATCCAACCGAAGAATCGTCCATGAAAGACATCTTGGAGAGAATAGTCATCTGCATGTACAGGATGGGGGAGAATATCGCCGAGGTGACAAAACGTATCGCTAGGAATATAGCCACGAGTTGCAAGAGGAACACGGATCCTTTAAAGATGATGTCCGATTGCTTGCGAGTGGTGACGATATCCACGAGCCTGTCGAGGATGAAGTGGCAGACATGGAGGAATATGTTTGCGGCTGGCAGGAGGGCGAGAAACATGGTGAACACTCCATACATAGCATGGCCTGAAAAGTAAAAGTTATTTTCAATAACTTAATATCTAAAGCTATGCGCCTATTTATAGATAATCACTATATATTAATTATATAGGATAGATTCCTATTCTGGGCTCGTGGGAGCGATGGATTTTGATTCCATGGATTTTGATTTGAAGTGTCGAAAGAGGAGTAACTTCATGTAGAAGGGATGAATGGCGATTTCCATTCTTTTTTTTTTATTAAACGCCTCTGCCGTTTTTAGGCCATTCGGCTCCTGGCAGCCGAATACAACTCCGCCATGAATCCTTTGTTTAAATTTGTTCCGATCGCATCCGAAGTACTGTGGACATCTGACAGAGCGGCGCAAACTGGGAGGTGCAGGTCGTACATCTCGTTCTGTTGGCAAAGAGGGCACACAGGACTTTCCAAAACTCCAATTCTATATAAATGCCTTTGCAGGTAATCGTGCCCTGTTGCCATGCGCAAATTTGCCACCGACTCTGTTAAACATTCCCATTTTTTCCCCGCTGCCTGTCGCTTTTGCCAACTCTTGTTCTCTTCCTTGTAAAACGATTATAAAATCCTTTTAACAGATTCATAGGGCAGCGGAGGATTAGTTTGTGGCATTTCCGAGGCGATCCGTACGAGCTCATCAGCTCTTTCGTTTCCTGGTAGACCGCAATGGCTTGGAACCCATTGGAAAGCCACTCGGATTCCTTTTTTTATTAAGTAATTAATCCGATTTCTTAATTTCATATCATATTAAGTTTGGCGATATTGTCATTCAATGGTTTGAGGTGATCCTAGAGAATTTTGTTTTGCAACTTCTAACTTCGAGCTGCCTTAAATCTGCCACAACATACATCGCAGTGAAGGACGTCTACGACTTTGGATGCTCTGGCATTTACTCGCATGTTTCACCCATGTTTCACCGCCTGGCTTCTCGGTTAATAAAAGGGTTTTATAAATGATGGACGTGACGGACCGAGTGAGAACTTTGAAACTTAAAGCTTTGGGCACTCAAAAGTAGCTGCTTTTCTACTGCCAATTTCTTTTGTGGAGCTTTCTTGACGAACATTTCAATATATTTAAGGTGTACGGAGACATCCCGATGGTACTCGAGGATAGATTCAAGCGACTCATGAATACGTGCTTAAGATTTGTCTTCGGTACATCGAGGCGGTTCATGTGTCCCACCTTTACGACGAGTTAAAGTGGCTGTTCCCTTCTTTCCGCAGACAATATTTCTTTGGATCTTTCCTATTCCAAACGATCAACACCCGACATCCTTCCTACATCTACAGTCTGCTACAGTTCAAACCCGTGGTCCACTCCCAGAAAACAAGATCCCGTGTTTCCGACCTTTATATCTCTTCCCATAGAACTAAGACGTTTGAATATTCCTTTATGGCCCGATCCACGGCCTTCTGAGATTCCTTGCCTTCTGAAATTCGCCATACCTCTTTCTTGTCCTCATTTAAATGTCATCTTTACCAATTCCTTCTCACATCCAAAAATGACGTTATACGATGAAATAAATATTGCGAAACAGATTTTGACTGAGGTGAATGGTTGTTAAAATTGATAGAGTTTTAATTTTAAAAATCAACCCATGTTTATTTTATTTTGTTCTCTTTTCATTTAAATAATGTTTTTTTTTTTCAAAATGGTGTTATTTTTACTTGTTTTAATTTAATTTTACTGAAGATACTATATATTCTTTAATATTGACTAATGTAATTTTTGGCCAGATGTAGTTTTTATTTTTTTTTTGTTCATAACTGTTATTCATAAAGGACCTTGTCCCAGAATAAAGTTTACTTTCTATCTATCTATCTATATTTGAAGCCGTCAGAAATGAGGAAGCTGGTATGACCATTAATATAAAAAGAGAGTGGCTTTAGTGGAGGGTTCACAGCGCACACTCGTATTTTCAGTTTTCCTCATCTTATGAGATAATCCACCTTTGACCTGTTGGCTTTTTCAATCGAAGTTCTTGAATTTAGTAAGACCTTTTTCCATTGTGAATTCCTCTGTCAGACTGCTCTCGCTTTGGCCAAGCGGAACCAACGTTGAAATGCTAAGAACCCATTGGTAAGCTGGTACACATCCTCACAGATCTTCCGTGTTCTTCCGCATGTATTTCCTTATGTATACCATCCTCTCCCAGTGCCTTGTTATTTCGAAGGTCCAAGATAAACTCAATTATCTCCTCCACATCAGGTGGAATATCTTCTTCTTCCAGTTCCTCCTCTAAATGGTTCCTTGAGTCTACCTTTTCTTCCACTCCTAATACTTCCGCAAAATTTCTCTACCACCTATTTAGAACCTCCTCTTTATCACGATAAAGCTTACGTCATGGAGTAAGTTACCTTGCTCATCCTTTACGGAGACGGATCTCGGAGTAAATCCATTCTGGAATTCTTTCAGACCTTTATAAAATTTTCTTGTTTCTTTGGCCTTGTAATGGTTTTCCAGCTTTTCGAGCCTCTCATGCTCCTTTTCTTTCTTCTACAAAGTTTCTTAGCCTCCTTTCTCTCTTTTGACGGTAAAGGTCAGTGGTTTGCCTTGTCGTTCTCTGAAGGTTTTGAAGTCGTGTTTGTTTCTTCTCTTGGAAACCAGACCTCCTTAGGAATTTTTGATCACTGTCCCAAGGTATTCCAAGAGTTATCTTTACAGATTCCCAGCTCTCTCCCGCAGACAAGTCCTGCAGGGGTGTTATTATTGTACCCCTATTCTCACGTAATTGTTCTTGAACTTTATTTCGTATCGCTCCATCTTTTAATTTTAACATATCAAATACCTATGCCGATGACATGTGTATCCTATCAGTTAATAACGATCCTTTAATTGCATCCCAAACTCTTCAATCACATATCACAAGCCTTGAAGAATGGTATAAAAATTGGAGAATAAAAATAAATTCCAACAAATCCCATCAAATCACCTTTACCCTCCGTCGTAAACCTATGACCTCTTGTCCTACAGTATCCTTCAATAATACTCCACTTATTCCTGTTGAGCAAATCCGCTACTTAGGACTCCACCTTGACAAACGACTCACTTGGAACCCCCATACCAGACTGAAACGACTAGAAACCGCTCGACGTTTTCGACTACTGCAGCACTTACTAAACAAACGATCTAAGCTTTCAATCAATTATAAACGACTCGTATATATGACAATAATAAGACCTATTTGGACTTACGGAATTGAGCTTTGGGGCTCCACTAAACCATCGAATTCCTCTCGTATCCAATCCTTACAATCCAAAATCCTTCGTAAAATCCTCAACGCTCCTTACTTTGTCACAAATAAAATCATCCATAAAGACCTTAATGTTCCATATGTTTCCGATCTGGCCCAATCCAGATACCTTTCCTTCCATAACAAACTGCAGAACCATCCGAATCCTCTCGTTTCAAACCTTGCTTCCTCCTCGATCCCTGATAACCCTCCGAGGTGTCTGAAAAGAAGATGGCCTCGGGATCTTCTAATAAAGAACTTTAATTTGAGTTCTACCAATGGGTAGTTTCTCTTCATGTTGTACATGCCATGTTACAAATTTCTCATTTACTTATTGTATTCTCTATGTAATACAGTTGTAAATTCCATTAAAATAATAAAAAAAAAAAAAAAAAAACATATCAAACGATACTACTGGTGGCTCGCTCTGTCCACCTCTTCTTCCAGCCAACTTCTACCTGTACTTGGCTATCACAAGGAAGTGTGTAAATGTTGATAACTTTTCTATGTTTATGAAAATATAGTGTTGGTAAAATTATTATTCACATAAATTTTTAGTAATAATACGTTGATGAAGTTTACGAATCAGCTTTAAATTAATGAAAGCCATTAATTTTAACCGCATTTTGAAAAAGTAACTAGTTCATAGGAGAACATAGATCATATGTAATAAGTATAATTAAACTAATAAATTTCATAAATTATTAAAAGGAAGCAATGTCATCATGTCCTTTCCTAAATCATTCCAAGGGTATGTTATAATCTTCAAGCTGTATTATATATCTTACAAAATACTACTTATTTAGTAATAAGTTTTCCATATAACGAAAAGCTTATTACCAGCTTGCTGAACCATGATAGCCATTAGATTGACGAAATTATTTTCTTCAGGGGTGTATCCTCGCTTTTCTTGAAACAGCTGGACTTGATCTCTGACAGACCTCAAAAGATATATAGGACCAAGCTCTTCGCAAACCTAATAATAACGATAATATTACTGCCATAGAATAAACAAATAAGTTTGTACTTATCTGAAAATAAAAATCTGGTGCGGTGCGCACATCACATAACTTTCACTTAACAACCTTAGAGTAGATAAGTATTTTCATATAAGTAAAAGTGAAAACGACTATTGTCTATATAAAAATATAGTTATATTTAACTTCATTTAAAACAATTAACAAATTAGAACAAGGTTCGCATTACTTTCCATTTCCTTTTACGACTGTGTATAGCATAAAAAAAAAAAATACTAATTGTGGACAAAAATGGATTCTGAGTTGTTTGTTTTTTTGCAACATTGCACTTGAAAACATTTTTTTTAAAATATGGATGAGTAATATATAAAAGTTAAAAACAATCAATAAAGCTATTATTATCCAACGTTGGCTCAGAAATCATCCAATTTAAAAAAAAGTTATCAATCGATTTTCTTCATCCCATTATGTTTACCACTTTCCAATGTTAAATGGTTAATTATTTCAAATGAAAAAAAATAAAGGTACTTTAGAGGTAGAAATTTGGAAAATTAGGCATTACAACCCTTTTAGAAAACATCAATGAGAATAAGACCTACATTATATTTAAAATCGCTTACTTTTACACTGATATTATGTTCGTAAGAACACTTTTCGAAAAAAACGTAAACATATCTAAAAACGATAATATAAAGTGGCACTTGCAGTTGGCCGATTTTAACGAAAAAGTTGTAACATCCCAGCTATATAAAAACCTTAAATGCGCAATTTTAGTTTCATACGATTTTCATTTTTGAGCAAGGCTGTTCACACACACACACGGACCGTTTTGGGCTACTTAGTTTTATGGACTCAGGAGATCTCAAACCATGTATTTCCGTTGTAAATTCAGATTCGAAAATTTTCACGGTCCGCAATACTTCCTCCTTACTGTTTTTTTTTTACATATATAGGTGAATGAAATAAAATACTTTCAAAGTTTTTCTAAAGTGCTTAGCGAATGAAATAGTAAATTTAAAATCATTAATTTAATCAGATTGTAGAAAATAATAAAGAGTTGAGCCAGAAAGATATTATTTGAAGATTTGTTTGACTAATTTGGGAGAGAGAGGTAGTGTAGAGCCAATTGGTAAAATTCAAAACACTTTATTTCATCTGATACTGGACTTAAGCAAAAATCAAAGGATCAACTATTCCTATTAAGAGACTTATCTAATGATAAATAGCTCATCAAAACTAGTTGTAAAATATTCCATCAGCTGTTCAAGGTATGAGAATCCTCATAGTGACTTCTTTTTATGTTCAGTAGTTCAAAAGGCATATGACATGATAGGATTCCAGAGCTCCTAAGTGGATTCTGGACCCATAACCCATGAGAATTTGGCCTTGTGCTCAACATCAGAGATCAGGGTCAACAACAGCTATTTCCAAACAATATAATGATTTTTGAAAACAATATTGAAATGTTTAAAAATTGCCCATGATATTTAGAGAAAATTAGACATATTGATATTTAAAACTAAATTTCGGTCAAGAATCCAAGAAAAAAAGATAAGGCTACTCAATAAAAATATGAATTCAGTGTATCAGATAGGAATGGCGATTCTAGAGATCTAGAGTTAAGATCAACTTAAATTCTTTATATCCTTTAATACATTGAAAATATTTAGTCAATATTGAAGAAAGAGCATGAAAGTTCAGAAATCGATGGTGAAAACAACAGGCAGATCTAAGTGGAGTGGACTTTTGGGCTGAAGCCCTCTCCACCCAAAAAATTTAAAATGTAACCATGTTTTATTACAAAAAAATGATCTCTTAAAAGTATAATAATACTTATAATATAATATAATACTTATAATAATAATATTGTTCATGTAATTACATTTAATAGCAGTTAAAGAATCACTTAAACGCCTTTTCATATATGTAACTATTACCTTTCTTTTTTTTTCCAAAGTAGTTATCATTATATATATGAAAAAAAAAAACTTTCGGGCTGAAGCTGCCTCTTCAAAATGAAATCCTAAATCCACTAGTGATGAAAACAAAACCGTCCTAATAAATACTTAATTTCAAAAAATTATTTTGTCATGACAACTAAAATAGGTTGAGCAGAGCGAGGCAATTGGGTCCATAACACACTTAACCTCCAAGTTTTCTCACTTAATTATGAGTTCCCGCTTTAGAGGCTGGGTGTGCTCCAGGGTTTGCCGACCTCAGGACCATTGTAGATGCAACAGTATAAATAATTACCTGCCACACCCAGTATGGAGCCGAGAGCATAGGAGCACAATGACTTATTCACTGAGCTACCCTGCTCAATTTAGGTAACAGCTAAAGATTAACTTAGTACTCTTTCCTTTCAAGATGTCCAAAATTAAAACTTAGAGAGAAACTCACATTTACTTCATTCCATTTGAACCAATACTTCACAGAACAATGAGACAGCAAGAAAAATATAAATTACAAACTTTCCAATCAAAAACACTATAAACGCAACTCCGTAGTACATTACCAACATTATTTTACATACAGATTTTCATGTGCCAAAACTTAATTACCACACATAAAGACAGACTTACAGGGACATACTAATCCACTCACACAGAACCAACAAGCCTGACAACACTGGTCTGACTGAAAAGAAGCTGGATGAAGGATCAGCTCTACTAATTATAAGTTGTAAAATAAAGAAGAGATGTCTCTTTTATTACTTTCCTTTAAGCCAACCATGGCCAGTTTTGCCTTTTCAATGTTTGTCGTAAGGATATCAAAAACTTAAGTTAGTGCCTAACAAAAAGTTATAATTTTGACTTGTTCAATTTATTGAATACTTTTCTTCAGACTTATCTCATGTAGACATGATTAATAAATGTATTGTGTACAACTTAAAAATTTAATCAGTATAAAATGTATTGATAAGAAAGCTGCCTTACCCTTTGTCTATGACCCATGGCAGCAAATTTGGTATTTGATTGAGATGATTTGAAAAATAATTGATGTAAAGCAGAAAAAAAAAACTTTACATAATGTATGACTCTATTCAATAATAGCAAACCGAGCGGCTCTTCTAAAACATTTTGTTTATCTTCCTCTATGCACTGATCTCCATCAAACATATCCTCTTCTATATTTACTTTGTCCAATTTTAACATACTATTAAGACTACTCAGATTACATTACTTATTGCATGTGAAATTTGCTTGTAATTTTTTTTGGAATGTTAAATATAATCATGTCATAAAGGTTATTGTTGAACACATGTTTCAAAGTAAACATTTTGAAGGGAAAATACTGAATTATTGCATTTTTATATACTGAGCTTGTTTATATTTTTATATGATTAATTACTAAATTATCAAGTTATTCTTAAGCAATACTAAATCTCAGATCCATTCATTAAATAGAAATGAAACATATGGTTACTATAAATTTTAAAAAAATGTTTGTAACAAATTATAACAAAAAATTTCTGATTAGTAAATTAAAAATGAAATGAACAAACTTTGAAAAAATGAAAGACAACAGGAAAAACTGCCATTGTATACCCATATAATAATAATTACTTGTTAAGACTCTTATTATTAGAATTATTTATGTATAAAAAATAATCTTTATTATTTCTAACTTCTCAGACACAGTCCGGTATCTTGGCTTTCTTTTAGACCGAAGACTAACATGGAACCCACATACTAGACTTAAAAGACCAAAATACAACCTACGATATGGCCAACTATACAGAATACTGAACAGAAAATCTAAACTTTCTATTGAAAACAAATTACTTATCTACAAGACAATCCTGAAACCTATGTGGACTTACACACTTGAACTGTTGGCGACTGCAAAATTTTCTAACATCAAATGCATTCAATCCTTTCAATCTAAAGTCCTTCGAACAGTAGTTGAGCTCCATTCTATGTAACCAACAAAATCCTACACCATGACCTTAATATCCCATTTGTCTTAGACCTTATTCCAGAAACATTCTCCACATTTCACCAGAACCTTACCTATCATCCTAATCCCCTTGCGCAATCCCTATTCAGCACCACCCATCCCTACAATCCTCCTCGAAGATTTGAAATGGCAGTGGCCCAGAGACCTTTTGTGAATAAGTATACACTGGAGTTTTGGCATCAGCCAGATTCTCCACTCAAGCCATGTATGTGTGATTATAGCGCCTCTTCTCAGCCTCTACTGGTTCTTAATACCAGTAATGCGGCTGAGTGAGGAGCGCTGGGATCGTCTGGAGTCCTGTCTTTCCTTTCACGAGTGGGGAGAAAGGCTTGGCCAGGGATCCGGAGTGAATGTTTTTTTTTTTTTTTTTTTTTTTTTTTTTTTTTTTTTTTTTTTTTTAGATATCGTATAGAAGCATGTGTGTAGTTATTTTTATTAGTTTAGTTTATATACATTTACTTTTAGTATTTTATTTTATTTATAGTACATAGAGTGTGAATGAGCTCTCAATTAGCAAGATTAAAAAATGCTACTGAAAGATAGGCTTTACTTATTTATTTAATAGATAGAAAAGTTTTGTTCTGGGACATAGTGCATACAAACAATAGCCAAAGTTGGCCAAAAATTACATTAATAGAAATTCAAACAATAAGGAGTCATAACAAACATCAAGAGCTACAAAAAAGTTCCGATAAACAATGCCCAATTTTCAGCAGAAAATCAAAGTTTTGTGTTGAATAGGAAGCGATAACTGAAGAAATATTTAATTTAAGTAATTATATAATTTCTTTATTGTAAACTAGACAAAATTCACTTCAAATGAAAATAGTTTGCTACTGTTAAAACCATTTAAAGATGACTTTTGGGTGGCTAAACTAAGCTAAGTTCTGTTTTGTTTAAAGAAATCATAAATTATTTGCAAATTTTGTTTAATCATTATTATCATTATTCAGGTCTGTTACAGATATCTCACTTTAGAAAAATATTTTCATTTAATAAGCTTCAAGTCTGTGGTAATTAAGTTGAGGTTTATTGGGGG